ATCTTCTCCTTGTGTGATTCTCTTTGAAACACTGTTAACAGAATGGTTTCTTTTGTTTCGCCTTAAAGATACATTATTGGCTAATATGCAATGTTGAAGAGGACCGCCATATAAAACCATATAAATAGATTCAAGGAGTTTACTGATATGCAAATCAAAACATGTTCTTTTTTAATAATCAATACTTCTTGTTTGTGCCTCAAACTCTCCTCAGTTTAAAACAGAAATAAGTTGTCACATAATATCCAAACATGACAAATTGTTTTTAGTCATGAAGCCTTGAACTTCTTTTAATGTAAATATTATCCTTCACACACTCATGTCTTCTACACCATTAAACGTAGCAGCTTGTTCCTGCGTAGCTCTCTGGCACCATCCTGTGTTTCAGTCACAATAATGGATTCTGGTTTGTTACACATTTTAGAGTTGAGTTAGTTTAGTATTGTTTTTATAGAATTTGATAAAAGAACATACATTCTACATTTTATTCAGATAATTCAGATATTTCATTTCATTGATAGGTATACAACAAATATCTAGATATAGATATATAGATGGTAAACCGTTTAGCATTCAAAAACCAATGTTTTTATTTTAGGAAGTTAATAAACACTTTCTTTTGGTTTTGGAGTGTATGTGAGGTGATTTACTATTATTCAATATCTTGTCGAACTCTTTTTTTTGTGTTTTGAAAAATAAAGCACTACTAGAAGGTAGTTGCGACACAATAGTGTCTTTTTTAAGCTTAATTGATCCAAATCACTAAAACTTTATTTAAACCACTATCTTTTGCCAAAGGAAAAAAAAACGTAATTTCAGTATTTTTATGTCTTTATGCAACTGCGCAATATGTGTTGAAATTACTCATTGTTTGTATTTGATCTCTCCCTTGGTTTCCCTAAAGTTTTGTGCCAGACGATTATGTTTGTATGAATGTTTTTTTTTCGATTTGTTAACCTCTGATTTTATGATCTTTATGGTCTTTGATTTGTTGTATCTTTGTATACCGCAAATAAATAGATTCAGTTTTTTTTTTACCCGTAAAGCATCACATATCCCTCCACATGAGAAGCTGTGACTGATTCAGACAATCAAGTCTTTGGTGGTTTTATTTCAATCAAAAACACCTTGGGCTTAATTTTTACTCTTCTATTTCCACACTTACTGACGTGTTTACTGAAATTTATGAGAAATAATTTCTGTAGAGATACATTCCATTCGACTCTTTCCTGGAATTCTGCTCACTAATCCTCTCGAGTGCAGTGAACCTCACAGGGTCGATTGTGTAAAAGACTCAGCGGTCACACATGAGCTCTCTCTGGGGGCCGTGTTTATGTCTGTTCCATGTTCAAGACTCTTATTTCCGTCTGATACTTCACTCTTTCAAGATGTTAAGGTCTTGGACACTGAGTTGAAGACACCTGTTAATTTTATTGTTTTACAATTAAAAAAACAGGGAGATAGATAATAAATAAAATAAAAAAAACATTCTTTATGGTATTGAGTTTAGATACAGACCCTGGGACTCTTTGCAAAGATTTAAAATATCTGAAAGGTAACCGTATGGACATGGAATCTGATTTTTTTTCAATAATCTAATGGAATAAAGGATGTACGCATAACACCTGACTGTGGAAATACTTTAGGCCATTCATTTTGACATTATTTGAGTATTACTGCAAAGAACACTTTTATCTAAGAGAATGAAAGATTCCTGGATTTTTGGGTAGACTAGAAGTTGTGTGAAAAAAATGAGAGAAATCAACATTTTTAATATGTCTTTACTTGCTATAAAAGTAGTGTAGCTTCAGTCCATAGTTTTCTATATTGTGTGGTGGGATAAAGCCTGCCCTTAACTCTTAATACTACATGTACTTACACTGTCAGCAGTCACATGCTGAGCCACAGGAATGCATCAGGAGTGCAGGTCAAAGAGAAAAATGTAACCATCAGGAGTTTCTCTCAACAATGCTTCTTTGATTGGTGTGAAGCTTCTGATTCTTAACAAGGCCACAATCTTTCTCTAAATCATGTTGTCTATGTGATCAAAATCAACCATAAGACCATCTTTGATGACTTCTGATATAAAATAAAAAACTGAGCAAGTGATTCACTTCGTTTCAGTCACAAGTGCAATCTCATGGATGCCCAAGTGCAGTTTGGATAAGGTTTCAAATCAAGTTTGACTATATTTTAAAAATAATAGACAAACTCTACAAAAATTCATAAACAAACACGTGCACATTTTTTCAAATCCAGGTTAATTAGTTCCCGGAATATATTTGAATTGTACATTAATACATTTACAACACAAGAACGATTATGTGAGGTTCTACGAAACAAAACAACTGCATAGGCCTACAAACAGAAAAGTAACAACAATAGGCTACAACCAAAATCACAACTAAAAGAATACATGTATGTGATTTTCTCCAGCTGTGAGCTTAAATGACTAGTGCTGTCTAGAGAGAGTTAAGTATGGTAAAGCAAATGTATTTTCTGTTATGGAAAGAGCAATATATATCTACAGCTAGCTAGTTAGCTAGCTTAAGTATTAGACCATCAGTAAGCTAAAGCCTGCTAGCTTTAGCTAACATTAGCCCAAACCACCATCTGGCAGGAGAAGCTTACTTTCAGCTAACGAGGCTCACTTTCTATTTTGTTAATGTTCAGTCCCACACTCCTCTTTTTCATCCTCCTCCTCATTATCTTCCATCTTTGGTATAAAGATGCTCCTCATAGCTTTAGCAATTAGCACAATTGTTGCTTGAATTAGCAATCGTGTACTCTCTTGTTCTTTTTTTGTTGTTGCAGAAATTAAAGTAAACCTGTTTATAATGAGCTAATTAGCCTTAGCATCTTAGAGCAACAAGTTGTAGCCTATTTCCTAGTTTAATTCCAAATTTGTAGTTGCTATAACACTTAAAGAAACTAGCCAGCTTAATGAATGCAAACTAATGGTCTCCAACAAAGGGTTACCAGATTTGAAATGTCAGCCAATCAAATGAAGGTGAGCATTGATCCCCACATCATTGTTGAATGATTACAGTTGGCACATGACACATATGATTCATTACACCATCACTCGTTAAAAAAAGGAAGGATATTCTGCAGGCCACTAGGAAGTTTTAGTTTGTAAGGCTCAGGAAACGCTAAGGACCATGTCAGTGTTCAGTTGTTTAAGTCGCTTAAACATAAATCACATAATCTTTACGTTATTGTTAACCATCTCTAAAGGAAAAAGTGAGTACCATGTCTGCATAATCTGCCCTCAAATTTCCATCATGCATGCGGTGGCCTGTTGGGCTTTGGCGCAAATTTCATTTTCTCTTGTATTTCTACAAATTAAGTTTTACCCACTTGACTTAGTTTTCAAATCGTTACACTATGTATACAGCAGTGTTACATTAAAAATCAAAGTCCTCAAATAGAAACTGTACTGAATGTAAAGAACACAAAGCTAATCAGCAACTTTATATTGTAAAATGGAATTATTATTATATTTGATTATGATATTTTGTAATAGTTTAAATAATGGCTCATCAGTTGCTGTTAAAAATTGTGCTAGATTGTATTTAAGAACAGTAATCCATGGGTTCTTAACCTATTTGGATTCCCTCCAGAGGGTCACTGGATAAATCTGGGGCATTAGGAGATGATTCATACAGAGGGAAGGAAGGAAAGGCTCAGTTCTGCATGACAGATTTACTTGTATTGCTTTATTTTTGGTAAATAAAATACTTTTACCTCTTCAAACAAAATGTCAGAAAATTTCTATTTGTTGGAACTTTTTAAAACTCTTTTTCTGTTACACAACTATTTGGGCCACAAGTAGATGCTGTCTTTTTTTTTTTTGAACAAATAGAATATATTCTTGACATTGTATATTGTTTTTTAAATTTTTCATTTTTTTCATCTCAGTCTGTAAAGTTACCATGGCTGCCTGATTGGTGGAGTTGAAATGAATAATGTGTCTCAGAAGAATAATGTAGCATTTAATGGATATCCTTAAGAACAAGTACTTGACAATTCTACTTAAATACAGCACTTAAGTACTTTGTAACTTTACCCTCTGAAAACCACTATTAAAATATCAGTATGGATCTGTTAAACTTTTAACACCTAAAAATCTTTACAGTTACTTTTCTGTCAGTTCACATGAGCTGACAAAGGGTGTCAGCTGAGACCTCGGTGGAAGGTTTGATAACAATGAGAGTAGACCCTCATCAATGGCAAAAAGATCTGAACTCTAATTTCTGCCTGGATTAAAGTGATTAGTCCCTCATGAAGATTATACCACAGTTTACAGTCGGGTCATTCGGGAATTTAACTGAATTTACGTCAACTCTTTCCATCACAATGACTGAGAAATCAAATCAACAGATAGCTATGAGACAATGCTTCTATCTTGATTTTTGTCAGATTGTTTGCTATCAGAATCATCTTTAGCTTTTTTTCCATACATAAAAACTGAATATATATATTATATTTGACCAGATATACTGGCAGTACAAACTGTCCTTTCTAAGACAAATTTGACGGGATGGCCTGCTTGTATTTGTTTTTTTCCCCCTGATTCCCTCAAAGCATAAAATCAGACACGATTCATTCTTTGGAACAGAGTCCCTACACAACACTTTATAGTTCCTCCAGGCTGTTCCTCGCTATTCACCCAGATCTGAGTCCAGCTCCCAGCTCTGCCGTCAGGTGATCATCACAAGACCAGTGGCTTAATCCTCCTAAAGCTCTACAAAAGGAAGAGGCGAAATTAGAGGGCTTTCTTAATGTGCATGAAACCAAGTGGAACACAACATGATTCGGCTCTAAGTGTTGGTTCCACAGATGTTTAAAACTATCACTGAATCTAATTCGAAGATACACAACTGTGGACCATAGCAGACTGAGATTCCACACTCTTCTGGAGGAACTAATCGACCACATTTCTTGCTGAAAGTTGATGTACAAACTGATTTGACTGGAGGAAAACAAACAGTCTAAATATGAAAAAGGCTCTGGGTCTAGGTTTTCTGTGTTTGCTGCTCTGGTCAGAGTCTGCGGAGGCTCAGTTTCCACGTGCTTGCTGCACAGTCCAGGGGATCCTGTCCAAGCAGTGCTGCCCACCTCTTGGCTCAGATCCTGCCAACGTGTGTGGCGTTTTGTCGGGGAGAGGAAGCTGTGTGACTGTTCAAGTCGATGAGAAACCCTGGGGAGGACCATACAGTCTGAGGAATGTGGATGACAGAGAGAGGTGGCCGACCAAATTCTTCAATCAGACTTGCAGATGTAACGGTGAGTAATGTACTTATGAAGATGTTGTTCAGGTGGGAAAGATAATAACGTGTTAAAAGTAGAACATCATCTGCATTCAAACGATAACAGGTTACATTTACACTCTGTCTTGCAGGTAACTTTTCAGGGTTTGACTGCGGTCAGTGTAAATTTGGCTGGATAGGACCTAACTGTGACCAGAGGAAAACCCCTGTGGTGCGCAGGAACATCCACGACCTGACCCCCGAGGAGCTCCAGGAGTTCCTAGATGTTTTGGACCTGGCTAAGACCAGCATCCACCCAGACTACGTTATTGCCACCGAGCATTGGCTGGGACTCTTGGGACCAAATGGAAACGAACCCCAAGTGGCAAACATCTCTGTTTATGACTTCTTTGTTTGGCAGCACTACTACTCCGTCCGTGACACTCTTCTAGGTAAATCATGCTTTATAAAGCTAAAAGAAGTGGTTGGTTTATGAGGTTGGCTGTCTTTATTTGGATTATGACAAAAATATCATCATGAAAACAATTAGAAATATATTTACATGGAAATTTCTTACAAGAAAGTAATTCATTAAATGTAAAAATGTGTTGACCTTAATGGATATGTGGTTGTATAATGTATAAGTATAATGTCAAAAATATCATTACAAAATAATCAGGAATATAATAATATAAATGATGGTTTGAACTGCCATTGTTAATGTGTTGCTTTATTTTTTATTGCCAAAAGCCATTTTCAAGGTAGCTCCAGACATGTTCAAATTATGTGACTTAAAAAAATCTGTGAATCATTGATTTCTTAAAAACATATATGTGAGGTTTTCAGATTATTTATTAGAGAGGTTTATGTTAGGGTTAGGGTTAGGGTTGGTTGAAATTGAACATTTTTCTTTTACTGAATAATGATGATATTTAATTCGCAATTTAAAATATTACTTATTAATTCAGAGGAACACACATTTTTGTTTTGTACTTTTTTTAAATTGACTTCAAGGATCGTTTGTGAGAAATCAAGTGGATGGATTACAAAGTATTAATATTTCTACACAACTTATAGTGTGGAATGTGCACATGCATGCCTTGTGATCGTGTAGATTAACTCATTGATCACTTTGTTTTTCTGCAGGTCCCGGTCGTCCATTCAAAGCAATTGATTTCTCACATAAAGGACCAGCATTCATCACCTGGCACAGGTATCACCTCCTCACCTTGGAAAGAGAGCTGCAGGTGGGTGTGAAAGTCTGAAATTATGTTTTTCAGCTTGTTTCTAAAATATATTTTTTGGAGTGGCTGAATGGAAAAAAATACTACATTTACAAGAGATAATATTCAATCAAACCAAATGGTTGATCAAAAGAAGGTCCTGTCACTGTGAACTTGTAACTTAATTAATTAGCAATTAATTCAAAATCCTAATTTGTGCAAATATTAAATACTGATTATTATGAATCAGTGTCTGATAAGAGGTTTTATTTAAAGTTAGATTTTTCCCTTAAAACAATTGATCCACCCAGGTTAATAAGGAGCAGGTTGTTTTCTTTGAAAAAACATTTCTGTATGTCGCATGGTTCTTTGAAAGAGAACAATGTGTAAGCGAAATGGAAGTGAGAGACTGGGACATTCAAGAGAGACAACAGAAGAAATATAGATCCAAGACGCCATCAGTATCAGTTACAGTAAAACAGTCGGCCTGATCAAAAGAAGGGGCGTATCTACAATTTTTTGACTGGAGTAGCCTAACCCGGGCACAGGCTTATTTAAAGGGGGGCACACACACAACTGCATAGTATACAATTTCACCAATCATATTTACTTGAATAATTTTTCAAACAGATATTATATTCCTTTTTATCAATCAATCAATTAATCAATCAATCTTTATTTGTATAGCGTCAACTCATAACAAGTGTTATCTCGAGACACTTTACAAAAAGCAGGTAAAAGACCTTACTCTTTGTCTTTTAACATTACAAAAGAGCAGGTAAAAAGACCATACTCGTTGTTATGTTACAAAAAGCAGGTAAAAGACCTTACTCGTTGTTATGTTACAAAAAACTGCTCATGATGGATAGGCCTTACCTATCCATCATGAGACCTTACTTATTGCTATATTACAAAGACCTGGCCTATCCATCATGAGTACTTTAGCAAAGCAGCAAAAGTTACAGTGGTAAGAAAAAACTGCCTTATTAAAAGGCAGAAATCTTCGGCTGGATCCCCGGCTCATGACAAAACAGCCTTCACAGGTCTAGACTGCACCGGGCTTGGAAGGGGATAGGGGGAGAGATGGGATAAAATGCAGGAAGAGGGATAGGGAGCAAGGGGATGGTGGGGGATGGGGTGTTGTTCAGGAAAGTCGTCCATCAACGATCCGGTGGTCAACGATTCTAGTCAGTACACGAGCTGCAGCGTTCTGGACTAGTTGAAGAGTCTTTAGAGACTTACCAGAGCACCCTGACAAAAGAGAATTACAATAATCCAACCTGGAGGTAACAAATGCATTGATATATTTGTTATATTTTCTTTTCTTTTAAAAGACACAAAAAATGACATGCTTACTTATTTAAAGATTCAAGAGAATATGCATCTCCAAAATTCACAGAATTAAGCACCAGCAAAAGAAATTGCTCGACCTTGAAATGCAACAAAAGATGTTAGCAGCCTTTTACAATCATAACTCAAGTCCCGCCTCTGATTGGTCGTATCACCAATCCTAGTGTAGGATTATTGGGTTGAACCTGCAGTGACCGATCAGATTTCAGAGATTTCAGAGATCCCTTGTTGATGACCAAAATGAACATGTTGATACTAATGTGAACAATAACTGAGTTATGTTTGTTCCCTGTAGAGATTGAGTGACAATCCAAACTTTGCCATCCCTTACTGGAACTTTGCCACTGGGCAGAGTGATTGTGATGTGTGTACTGACTCCATGTTCGGGGGAAGAGACCCAGAAAACCCTTCCCTCATCAGCAGCCAGTCCAGATTCTCAAGATGGGGGGTGATATGTAACAGGTTAGCACAAGATACTGACTGGAGAGGAAATAAATGTAATTGGCTGAAAATAGATATCAGTAAAACATTTAATATCTTGTCATTTAATATCTTAATGGTTTTCCCTTCCAGTTTGGACGACTACAATCGCCTGGTTACCCTTTGTAATGGCACTAATGAGGGTTTCATCCAGAGAGGAATGATGGAGAGGGCTAACATGTCTCTGCCCACCATGACTGACGTCAGAAGCTGTCTTGGAATCAGGGACTTTGACAGCCCTCCATACTACACCAACTCCTCCTCCAGTTTTAGGTACAACTCACATGTTTGGTATAACCATTTGGAAATCTGCATGCTGGCATGGCAAGTGGGTAACTTTTTGCTTTTCAACTACAGAAATGCTCTTGAAGGCTACGAAAAACCTGATGGACAATTGGATGATTCAGTCACTAACCTTCACAACCTGGTCCATGATGTTCTCAATGGAACCAGCTCCATGTCTCACTCTGCAGCCAATGACCCCATCTTTGTGGTCAGATTCTGATTTCATGGTTTATTTTGAAAAGATACAGTATGGTATCCTTGTGGTTGTTGCCTAAATCACTGTGGTGTACCTGGTTATTTGTCTCGCAGGTGCTCCATGCCTTCACTGATGCCATTTTTGATGAGTGGATGAAAAGGTTTGCTCCCTCCAACGCCACCTTCCCCGATGAGATGGCCCCAATTGGTCACAACAGAGACTACAATATGGTTCCGTTCTTTCCTGCAATCACTAACCAGGACATATACATTCCATCTGAACAGCTTGGATATTCCTACGCTGTTGTCCTGGATGGTGAGAAAGTGTTAATACTACAGTCTGTAGAAATAGTCACATAATGTGATTAAATGCTTTATTTAGAGTTAAATGTGAATATCAACAACACTATGCAGTAAATAAGACAGGAGCCAGCATTAAGACTAAATCAGTGGCAAACAGCAAGCCTGGCTCTATCAAAAGCTAACAAAAGATTTGATCTTTTAAGTTACGTTGAGGCTTGAACCAGAGGCTTGTTAACCTAGCTTAGAATAACAACTATAATCAGGGGAAAAGAGCTTGCTGTCCAAAGCAAAGAAAAACAATATTTTAGAGATTACTTGAATAATGCTCTCATATTGGTGTGGTAGAGCCAGAAATGGCAGCTTGTGGTACCTTAACTTATAAAGACTGAGAAAAAAGGGCAAAATAGCAATATCTGTCAACACAATTTTAAGTTTAACCTTTTAAATTTACCACCATTGAAACTACTAATTGACAAGGTAAATATGAAGCTAGAGCAACTAGCCTTGCCTAGCTCTGTTGGAAACATAACAAATCTTTAAATCTCATCATGGTGAGGCTAATATAGCGCCATTGGCTAGTTAGCTTAGCATAAGGATTTGAACAGGCCTTAACATAAAGTTGTCATATACAAACAACCGCCCCTCCAAAGTTCACTACTGAAAACAATGTATCTACTTGGAGTTGCTTAAGTCAGCTGATGATTTAAATAATGTTATGTATTTATTTACTAATATACAAAAAGCCGAATACCCAAAGTAGATGCAACATATTGTGGTTTTTCCACATTTCATAAAAACTTGAAAATACCTGCATGCTAGTGGCCTCATGTTTGTTTGAAGGATTAGTTTTGTAGTAGGTCACACAGATAGGGAAGATAGATGGAAAAACAGTGGGAAATGAAGCTTAGGGGTAAGGTGATTAATGCCAAGTGACTGATGTTTGAAGGCTCATCAAATCAGTCAAATCCACTTTTGTTTTATTTAACCTATTTTTTTTTAAACATATTGATGGACAAAAAGTCTTCTGAAAATGAACATCTCCTCCTGTGCCTCTTCTTTTGCAGAGACAGATGGAGGGCCAAGTGTGTTCGTGCTAGGCTCCACTCTGGGGGGAATCTTCATCGGTCTCCTGGTGCTTCTCCTTATCTTTGTGCTCTGGCTGCGTCAGCGGAGAAACAGAGGCTTTGAGCCTCTGATAAAAGCAGACTTCAGCACAAGGAAGTACACAGAGGAAGCGTAGAGGACCACCCGTTGTTCCGAAGCAGTCTTCAGTCTTTATACATACCTAAGAGAGATGGAGCAGCTGATCGTCTTTATGCTATGTGGGCAAGATGAAAAACATAATCCTGTAAACAAAGAGAAATGTAACTTTCTAGAATTTTAAATCCATCGAGGAAACAATGTGAATCAAGTAGCATCCACTTTAAAATGATAATAGAAACTGAATACAGGTTTCAAGTGGGACCAATCAAAATTAATGTATACTTTAACTGGTTTGGTGACTTTCTCTTTACAGAATCACAAATACAAATCTATTGGAATGTTTTTAATAAATATTTATTTTCAAGAACAGTAACAAAACACGAATGCAATTGTCTTCATTGCACTGAAAAACAATAAGGCATATTTTCTTGACTAGTTCCTCCGCCCTCCTGGTTTGAACTGAGATTCAAACTTCAAACTGACTTTACCTCATTAGGATTTGACTTCATAGCGCAAAGCATTGATTGTAAAAAAATGTTGTCTTACAGCGTTTCCTGCTACTTCTATTTTTCAGATAATTTGTCTGACCAGACATCCATTTTCAATATTTTATTGCAAAAATATTACATGTAAAGTTCAATGATACAAAACATAAAAAGGGCATCCTGTAAGATCATTATTCATAATAAAGAATCCTTTTAAATGACACGTTTGACACATTTTCACTTGTTCTTGCAATGTTGAGGCAAATGCTGTCGTTAAGTGCAATAATGAAAAACGCTGAACATGAGTATACTGCTAAGGGCGTAACACTGGCTAATTCGGTGGATGTGTAAGCTAAGCTGGCCCTGTGGTTATGTAGCTGACAGGCTCTTAGAGAACAGTAGACGTACATACTGGCTGGTTTTGTCCGCCCCCCTCAGCAGTGCCAGGCCTCTCACATTCTATGTGAGTACGCTCTACTGAGGAGCTTCAGCGGAGCATTCAGGCCTGTCCGGTCTCCACAGATTCTCATTTCACAGGTGACTGTGGTCGGCTTCAAGCCTGTCTGTGCTGCAGACACAACCAGTCAAGCTTTACAGATAAATTTAGGGACCTTTTCTTTGCATTCCCGGTAACCACTGTGTGCTGTTTGCTACTTCTTCTTTAGTAATTCCTGCAGCTTTTACATATCTGTTGGGATACATTTTTTCAAAAAAGACAACTTTAAACTTCAATTCTAATACTGTCTGCCAGTATTTCTGTTTTGTTTCTTTTTAAAAACATCACAACACACATCAAATACTCTATCCAAATTGTTAATAAAGTTACAGGATAACAATCACATCTGCCTAATTGGCACCTTCTTTATTGATGTTGCCTACTATATGTGCAAACCCAGAATTACTGGAAATAAAACATTTTATATTTGTTAAAGACAATCCAGATATGGCACATGATATTCTATAGGATCCAGTTACTGTTGATTAATAAAAACTATGGCAGCACATTACTTTCTTTGGTAAATGGTGATTTTGTATTAAATTGGGGAGCATTTCCAATTACACATTTACATGAACTGATATATAATCTCAACAGAGTTTGTTTCATGAGCAGTTTGGAAATCTTTATAAATACAATTGTAAAATATTAAATCCCCTAATTATATTGTCTTGGTATTACGGTTCCAGATGCTTTTAAGTGGTAAGATGGAAATACATTAGGTAACGTACTGAAGTCTTAAGCCCTATACTGATGTAATGGTACCCTAAATAATTGAATCACCAATTCTTTTAGAAACTGTGGATTGGCATTTGTTTATCCTTCTCTAACATAATGAAAGTAATTACAGTCAAGGACCTGTACCCCAAAAGACTACAGAGCAACCATTCCTACAATTGTACATACAGTGGCACCTTTCCCGATGTGTCAATCACTGCTTCATATTATTCAGTCCAGGCTGTCTGCTCCAAGGCCAACAAATCAGCATGATATACAAATATTTTGCAGATTATAAATTTGTTGCGAGGCAAATGCATAATAAAAAAGCCAGTCTAATCCTTTTTTTTTTTTTTTTTTTACAAAATGTGAGTTCAGCACAAGGCGGCTGTTGAACAGTTTAGGTGGATAACTAGAGCAGAACAGGGAAATACTTAATGTATGATGTTGCCATGTTTAAAATGAAAGATGAAGCAGCATGTAATAAACATACATGGATTTATGACCACTCTGAACAATATCAGAATATAATGAGCTTACGTCTTGTGAAAAAATAATCAATAATTGGCACATGATTATATGACAATGGAAGAATTGAATTAATATGAAATGTTGAAATGTTCCTGAATTTTTCAGCAAATAGATCATCCTCTGTAAATATCCTGTTTAACGTATATTCAAAGTTATCAAGTGTCTCTTTTTGATGCCTCACATAACCACATTCTCAACACACAAACAACTTTTTGCATTAAAAAAATGAAAACAATCAAAGTGCGTGTTATAATTTTCCACATGGAGACCTACATTAGTACCTGCCATATGTGCAAGAAATCTCTGAAGCAGAGTCTGTTGGGTCGGCATCAGGGTTAGACGGAGGGGTGATGCCGTCATATATCAAGTCTAAGGATGGCACTGCACGATCTTTGGGAGATTGGGAAATCATGATGCATGACCGCTCTGGTTTTTCAGAACAGTCTCCTCTCACTGTGAGGCGAGCAGCCGTCATACTGTCTGCTCGACTGTAGCTCCAATCTGCCTGAATACAAAAACTGCAAAGATGAAAAAAAAAGAAAGAAAAACAACCCTGCTGTCCATGTTTAGCTGGTTCCTCCAGCATTATCTCCACTGTTGGTGGAATGCCAGGGCTGAGAGGGCCAGCATGGTTGGCAGGGCTATTGGTGCACAGAGTGGGTTGGAATCATCCACAGGCCCGCTCCGGTCAGCCTCCACCACCGGGGCTTCGGTGGCAGCATCGTCAGCTTCTGTGGGGCAGACGTCTGTGCAGCCACTGCCGCTGCCTGAACCACTGCCTTCATCACCTGCAACAGCAAAAAAAAAAAAAAAAAAACCTTAGTTAGAGTGAGCTATGTTAGCTGCTATGCCTCATGCAAAACGGAAGGGTCTGACCTCCGGAAATATAGTTCTTGACTTCTAAACTTGATTTTTATTTAATTTATAAATAATTTTTTTTCTTGACTTCTAAACCTGATTTTTATTTAATTTAAGCAAAACGGGAGGGTCTGACCTCCGGAAATATAGTTCTTGACTTCTAAACTTGATTTTTATTTAATTTATAAATAATTTTTTTTCTTGACTTCTAAACTTGATTTTTATTTAATTTAATTTATTTTTTTAATTTTTAACTGAAAATGCAACATCAGTAAACACTTTTTAAAATCTAATATACTCGACCACAGGACTGAAAGTATCTCAGATATATACCTCTGATCTGTGTTGTTGTCAGACACAGCTTTAATAAACCCTATGTACTGTATACTGCATTTCCAGCTCTGTGTCTGCAGAGGAAATAGCATTTTACATCATCGAAGAGATATTGCAAAACGCTGCATGAAACAATGAAACACAATAAGAAAAACTATGTTATAGTAGATTACGAGTGCATTCCATTCCACCTCAGCATTTAAACATTGTATTCACTACTTTCTTCTAATGTTTGAAGCCCATCATTTCTATTGAAAAGAAAAATAATTTAACACCCTTGTATAATGTAAAATATTCTAAAATGTATAAAAATATGAACAATAAGTTATGGCTAAAATGCACACTTCAGTATAAATATATTTATCATGTATCGTATCTTATCTCACATGGCAGATATTTCTCATAACCACCAGGTGGCAGGCAAGGGGATCACAGCGCAGAGTTCAACTGCAGATTGATTTACAGAGTTGGTAGGGACCAAAATTAGAGCTAAAAGCAGAGTGAATACGGGGATTGAATTGATCAAGAGGACTACATTTTCAAATAAATGCAAACACTCATAAGTTACTGTTTGATTACAAGCTCAGCGTGTCAACTTTAAAGGTGATAATACAATTTGTTAGTGTAAAGTCACAGCTTGTTTCCACTGCTACAGTAAGACGGGTCCAAAATTAAATGAATAAAGGTTTAATAATGCAGTATAATGAGCGCACAATAACATTATGCAAGTATTTGTGACTGTTATCCCAGTAAATCTGAAAGTCACTGCTGAAACAAATCTTTGTGTTTGCTGTATTTCTGTGTTTGCTGGCTGTTTTTAGGGGATTAATTACACACACTAAAATACTGCACAGCCAATGTGCTGTCAACAAATTGCTCTTAACTGGCTTGTCAGTGTTTTCACATTGCAGCCCGTGTTGGTTATCGGCTCCTTCTGTGCCTTTTCACTGACGCTGATTAGCTCTGCCACAGGGTTAGGTAGCCTTTCAAAGTGGACAGTTGATCAAGATGAATGACAGGCTGGAGTATGAACTTGACCGACCAGGGCAGTGAGGGCAAGACTAAAAATAAATCTCTCTCCTCAATAAAAAAAAGGCTCATTGTTTCTGCGAAGGAAAATTGCTTACTTGAGTCTTGAAAGTAGATATCATTGCCGTTGTAGGCATTTTTCAACTTGTTTGTCATCACTCTCAGAGCCATGATCTGCTGGCGGATGAAAGTGTCTGGACGGGTGATGTCCACACCCACCTCTGGGTTATTCACCTGGTTTGTAAGTCCATCCTTTTGAACTTCAGGGAAGTACCTTCAGATAAAAATGAACAATTAAATGTGTTAAATTAAATTATTGTGTAATTTTATTTAAAGTCTCTCAAAAAAATTCTAATAATCAAACATTCACTCATAATTGCCAGTGAATGTCTAAGAGGTGTTTTGTTGTCTCATTCAGCAGTTTAAAAAAACCTCTGAGGATAAAAGAGGGTTTGGCAAAATGAACACTTGACCTCATCATGTTGGGTAATGTTCTCACAAACTTGTGAGATATTTCTCCCGGGAAAACATGTCAGCTGCCTGCATTCCTCTTTGATAAATAAGCAGCACACAGTCATGTGAGGGCACTCCATAAATCGTTTTACACAAAAGCATTTGTTCCTGTAGGCACACGTCAATTCATAATATACAACCCCGGATTCTTTTTTCTTTAGTCACAGGAAATAGCAGCAGCTGCCGCACCCAGTGCCCACTTATAAGGTCAAATTATTCACTTTAAGGGTTATTAGAAGAATAAAACTGTTTTGAATGCTGGATATTTTTTGATCATAGTTGATGTTTTGAATAAAATTTTAAAAATGAATCAATTCAAGTTTGATACAAGCCATTGCAGCTTGCATTGGGAGTGCTCATGCAAATATATATTTTTTTAAATTAGATTCAAATGGAGAAACCATGTTGGATTTATATTATGGTGTAGCATAAAAATATTATTATTTTTTTAAAAGCAAATAAAATAATCTAAGTTTATCATACAACACACTGAGGCCTGAATGATCAAATATGGTTTGATAATTCACTGTTTTTTTTAATGTTACATTGAAGTAAAAAGAAAGAAAAGTAGGCTGAGCTTTTAAAAGGCTTAGGTCAGTCACAGTTCATAATCTGGTCCTCAGTTCCAGGATGACACTGATTAACATTAGTCGAGTGGAGCAGACTTTCATATTGGCCTGCTTTAGCCTCAGGCCTTGGTGCACTTACCTGCCCTTAGTGTGTCCATTCCAGCACTCCTCATCGCTGGTATTTCCTGCGGTCACTCTGTCTTCCACGCACATCGCCTCGGGCAGGTTGGACCAAAATTTCTTTGACAGCTTCAGTTTTTCTTTTATGTCAACCACCTGAGCAAAGAGAAGGGTTTTTTTACACAGGAGAAAAAAAAAAGTATAAACAAAGCAAGTCTCTGTTCTAATAGAGGATACAGAGTTACAGTTTGAAAATGACTGATCATGTGAATAAAAATGACAAATGACCCCATAAAGACACTCAAATAGGCAAATAACCAGACCATAGGAAAGTACAATTCTAGATTAAGATAAGCACTGTTTCTGGACAGACTCAGCGAGCTCAGTCTGGCTTGAGAGACGAGATGGCAGAGAGAGAGAGAGAGAGAGAGAGAGAGAGAGAGAGAGAGAGAGAGAGAGAGAGAGAGAGAGAGAGAGAGAGATAGAGAGAGAGCTGGGTGCACGAGGAGGAGACACTCTGCTTCCAATGTGACACACAAGAGGTAGAGTCAGAGCAATTCTTCCTCACCTCATGCCCCCAATAACAGTAAGAAGTGAATACTTTGCCATGTTGCTGTATTTTCATTATTTTCGACAAACTCCTTTATTTACAAGGCAAGTTTATTTATATAGGACATGATTTAAAGTGAAGATTTACAAGAAGAAAAGCCAAAATGAGAGTTTATAGCAGAAGAAAATAGTGGAACCTTCCACTTCAAAGAAAAACTGAGAAACAATGAACCCACCCACACATACGCACACACACACACACACACACACACACACACACACACACACTACAAAAAAAAATATATCACATATACACTACATGGAAAAAATGCACCGATTTCAAGAATCTGCATGCCAAAGAGAAATACAAACACACACACATAGAGTCAGACGCACTGTCTTTCAACAGTTTCATTTAACACAAACACTCTCAGAATAACACATTAATCCTTTCTTGTTTGTTATTTTCCACTTTTTTAAAGCTTTGGCAAAATTGTCTCTATTACATTCATGCCAATAAAACATTTAGAACCACAGTAAAATAAGGCAAAATATGGACACCTAAAAGAAAATAATCACACATTCTTGCACATTTGGATCTGTCTATTTATAGTGTTTTACAAGTATTTAATTTGGTCATATATTCTTTTACAAGCATCTGGGTGGAAAAAGAAAACAATGCTACGTACAATGATATTTGTCCTGATTTCTGTGAGGCAGGTACATATCTAGAGTTTTTGTCCAGTAAACTATGCTTGAAACGAGCTTTTATATTATTTTAAACTCTCAGGTACTCATGATACATCTCATTTGAACCTCATTCTTAAAAATGCCCCACCTTCAGTTACTACAACATTTTATCAAAGGATTATAAAAGTTCGGATTTAACCCTGAGACATTTTAACTCCCCAAAAATGATTGCGGTTTAATTTTTCCTCCCATGCTGACTATCTAGAGTTTGCATCATAAAAAAGTAAGACCATGCAGGCTTGCAGCAATAATTTCAGCTTCAATGTCAGACTTAAATGCTCTTTTGCATCCTGGCCATGTGACACAGTCAGATATCGTTCCCTGACTTGAGTCTGTTGAACTCCCAATCTTTCATCAAACACAGAATTTGACATATTTCACTGACGCTGAGGGAAAGCCTGATAGCAGCAGGTTGGCCCCATTATCTTTTTCCGTCTGACTTGCTGTTGGCTTACGTGAAATTGTAGTGAACCTGAGCAGAACATGAAAGGTGCTGTACTGCCTGTGTGACGCTGCTGTAGGCCCTGACTCTGCTTTTGATGTGTTAATCCTGTCACACTGATGCCAAAGCACTTCAGCGGCTCTGATACTGCCCAGAGGGTCAAGGCTGCACTCAATGCAAGAGATTGACTGGCAATGTTTGACTAAAGCTCACATATTAAGTTTGGTTAAACCACCGAGTGATTCACAGTTTTTCTCGGGATCAGCTGGCAAAACCAGGCCTGCCAAGGTGTGAATTGAAATTGTAAGGACTTGCTCACATTTTATTAAGGCAAACATTTAATTAGCACCTACAGTTAACATGGAGCTGCCATTCTTAGCGTGGCTGGAAATAGATAAAAGTTTGATTTTTCTAACTTTTTTGCGTGGCTGAGATGACTAACAAGAGATGTCTTTAAATCAGCTGTTTATCATTTTCACAGAGACCTGGATGATAAAAAAGCCAGCTACTTCAACGGCACACAATAAACATGTGGTATTGGCAGTGGTATGCAGCTCTATAAGCTCATATGTATATTTCTGAAGTGGGAAAATTACAAAATAAAAACGCGAAAGATGACAATTTTGTCACAAAAACTACATGTGTGATGGAAAAAAATCTCATTTCATTGCATTGTCCATGAATAAATAATACAACTGCAACAAGCAGCCCTGGCATGCAACCACATACATTGCACACTAGATGGCAGTATGCTGCTGAGAAATGTGGAAATGAATGCAACCAGAGAGAAAATAGAGAGGGGGGGGGGGGGGGGGGTTGAAAGTGGAAAATATTATAAATTGAAATGAATTATGGTGAATAATGATTTCCCTTTACATCAGACTTCACACTAATCTCTATGTGATCTGAATGAAGAGGTCAACAGATGCAGCACTAATATAATAGTTAATGTCACAACAATCTGCAGTGGAAACAGGATAATGAAAAGTTCATTGTAATTCCAGTGCGGTGGTGGTATGAGGAGCAGGAGAGAGGAAGTGTGTTTGTGGAGCAGAGAGCCTCATTATAATCAGCTGTCTATTACTGACAGGCTTGATATTCTCATTAAAAAATCACTATGAAGATCACAGACACCCCTCCCCTCTCCCACCAGGATGTTGCATTGTATTTGTTTCCTCCATCACCCTAAAAGATGATTGTAATCATGATGTGTGATAGCTACTGCAATCTGTGTTGATATTAAAGGTGTTATTAGAGCGTGATACCTACGGCTCTGTAATAAGGGCTGACAAGGCCGTTCATAGAGGCATTTACGCATGGGATGTGCACACCATCATCATTTATGTCATTATTGTACCTTGGCATGACTTTATGAACTCATAAACCAAAGACAAACGTTTGTTAGAGACAGTGCTGGGATGTGACAGGCACGTCTATATATGCATTAACAGTACACCTGTTTTTCCCTGACACTGAGCCTATGTCATGTTTTAAATAGAACAGAATGAAGGACATTGTTTTGATCACACTTACAGACACACACTTAGCACAAGAGTTTGCATATTAATGTCCAAAAAAACTCATTCATATAATGTCATAGCTTTCTGAAAAAGCATTGTAACAAGTAATGGCTTAACAAATAACAGACAGCCTTTTTTTGCATTTACACATTGAATGATGGGTATGCAGCTGTATGAAAGACAATACAAATATAAACACCTATACCTGCTTAAGATTCAACTGCTTTGTATTAAAAACTGCTTATAAAATGTGAATTCATAGCTTTTTTTAAAATCACCTGTAATTTGGAGAAATGTTGAGTTTTGGTGGATAATGTAGGTGGAATGCTTTAAATGGAGGTTCTTCACATCAATGAAAAACACACACACACACACACACACACACACACACACACACACACACACACACACACACACACAACACACACACACACACACACACACACACACACACACACACTCATTCTCATTCTTTTTTAGCTGTATAAGATTCTCTACAGTCACAACTTGTCAGTATCTATCTATTACTCTTTTTCACTTAAAGCATAAAAATATTGAATTTTCTACATTTCCAAGGTCTTTACAAGGACTGATCAGACTACATGGGCTGTATGGCCTTGCTCCGGCATTGCATCATCTATATTCTAGGTTTCATTTTATAAAATGTTCTCTGCAATTATGTAAAAAGAGATACCTGAAGATGGTTAAAGAAGACGCTGTCGTAGAATATTCAGTTTATTGCGAATGGCTAATCTGCTATTAAGGGCTATGAAGGTTCTCAGTCATTGAGGTCGATTAGGATATTAAGAAGTCAATAATAACTTGATTTACTTTTGAACAGTTTCATTAATTTTCACATTTCTTAAAAAAGTCCTTTGACTTTGATTTCATCAGCAATATTTTTTTTCAAACTGCTGGCCTCTGAAGATTTTAGCTTAAGATACTCAAACATGAGTTAATAGTGCTTTTGTTGGGGGCTATTCTTCTTTCTATTTAAACACATTTTATGCACTAACTGGAGGCTGCTGTCTGTGTGACTGACTAAAAAAAACAGTTCACATGATTTAGAATAGACTAAAACCTCGAGGATGTAGAGTTGCAGAAAGGTGATGTTCTGTCCTCTCCAGCAGCCATATATTTTCTTGTTCATTCTTTTGTCACGAGGCTTCCTGTCATTATCAATATATTACTTCACCATGTTTCTCTCTCTCTCTCTCTGACCTCCTGACATGACTCTGGTGTCTATTGTCCTTACACAGCCCAGTAAGTAAAATCTAAAGTTTCATGGCCATCTGATTAGCAGTAACAGATAAATGCCAGAAGGGCTGCTTGACTATTGGCTGACCAGAAGAGGTCATCGTTTAATTATTTGGGTTCAGAAAAGGGATGTTATGAATCTTAAATGACAAAGAGTTAAAATAAATAAACACACATGATGCCCTAAATGTAGAAAAATGAAAAGGTCAGCTTGCTCTACCAGGCTAATAGAAAAATATAAATGAAAAGGGAGGATCCGTTGTCTGATTGTAAAACATCAAATCATTGTCAACAGTCATCAGTGACCGTAGGGATAACAGTTTACATTGTGTGTTTTTTCAGTGAATTAGTTTGTTTGGAAAGTAGGGCCAGTCCTTCACTGACACTAATGAAGCAAGACCCAATTCATTTTCTAAGCAGCTTTGTAAACTAAACCCCTCGTCTTTCCCTCAACCCTGATGCAACAGCGTAGACTACCTCTTCTCTGGACTGGAGAGCAGATGAACTTTAATTGATCCTAATTTCTCTGGTGGTTTCATATGAACTCAATCTTTTAATACATTTTAAATCCATCATGGACATAATCAAATCAATTACCTATCATTTCATTTTCCTTGTGTTCCTGTTGTATCTGTCTCCTTG